ATTATTACAAGACCAGTACACCCCCCCCCTCCCTTCTGTTCCCAGCTGTGGTGGCCTCACAACGAAGCAATGATCGCATTCCTTAAGGCTTACAAACACACATCGGACGAGAAATACTTGGAAAAGTTTGCCCAGGTCTTTGATTACTCGTACCAACACGTGAGTACATTACATTGCGAGAATTCTTAAATAGTATTACCTGATGATGCCAAGTTGAAAACATTAGGTTCAGTTGTTGTTTTTTGCGGTCTGTTGTTATGTTTACAGTTTGTGCTGAATGCTTAAATTAATCATGAAATGAAATGATAAGAGAAATTCACACAGGCCTTGGATTACTCTTACCAATTCGTGAGCACATTATGAGAACGTTGAAATAACTAGCTGATGATACAAAGCTGATGGCCACCGTCCTGCTGTCTATATCAACCAACACCTTTTATGGTGTCTCATGAGCATGTTGAGTTCTGTTAGTGTTAGTACTGTAAGGTTGACTGTTCTGAATATAGTACATATAATATATAAATGCCTCTCAAATAAATAATGAAATACTAGGAGAAAAAACTTGCCCTTTTAAAAAAAATCTGTGCTGCTCTTACCAACACGTAAGTTCCAGTTCATAGTTCATGACGAGAAGGCTGAAATAATAAGATGTTGACTGTTCGTGTTGGATAGGCCTAATAATAATATACATAATATTATTATTATAATTATTATAATAGATGTACATGGATTGGCAATTAGAAAAAAAATCCCAAAAATCAACCTGTTCCCCCCCCCCCTAAAAATACAAACAAAAACAAACAAACAGTTACATTTTGTCGCAAACATTTGTTTTACTCTTATTATTATTGTTTCCACGAGCACAGTTCGCTGATACCCAGAAAGGCGAGTGGTTCGGCTACCTGAGCAGAGAAGGGCAAGTCAAAATCAACGCTAAAGGAGGTCCCTGGAAAGGTCAGGCTTATTTCGTGTGTATGTGTATGTGTGTTTGCATGTGTGTGTGTTTGTGTGTGTGTGTGCGTGCGCGCGCATGTCGTGTGTGTGTGCTTATTGTGCATATTTTAACGTACGCATTTAAGTCCGATCTTGTTTTTAGACAGACAGACAGACTGACAGATAGATAGACAGACAGACAGACAGACAAACAGACAGATAGATAGATAGATAGATAGATAGATAGATAGATAGATAGATAGATAGATAGATAGATAGGTAGATAGATAGATAGACAGACGAACAGACACAGACAGATAGTTGGATAGACAGATGGATGTCAAAATGTTTCCACAGGCTGCTTTCACGTGCCGAGATCTCTCATGATGTGTGAACAACTACTCCACGAAATCCTGCAGACCCAGTGACGTCATAGATGTGTGTTAGCCAAAGATGAATGGTGTTATCGTAGCGAAATGTAAATGTCACCAACAACCACCACCACTGACTGGAACTGGAAGGATCAGAGACTTTTTCAGGGGAAATTGATTTTGTTTTCTGGGGACATTTTTACTTGTATTCATAGTTGTTCTCGGGTCTTCCCCTTGTAAATTACCCATTTTTGTTGCTGTTTTTTTAAAGTCTGAAAATGGCAAACTGTGGCTACGTTTTATAAGATGTGTTAACTATTGCCATGACATTATGTGATAATGCATGTCTTTTTCTCGGCTTCTTATTCAACGTATGTTAAAATGTTGATAAAGGTGAATCATTAATATTATTCATGAAACAAAATCGATACACGGATAACATATTAATATACAGTGGAAACCTGATATAACAGGGGTGGTGGGACCACAGAAAAAGTCCTGTTATATCAGATCCCTGTTAAATCAGAAATGCAAAGGAAATAAGCATGTGTGGACTAATCCAGCTTATTTATTCATGGGTAGTTTCCCTTGCCACAAGTACCCTGCGCATGACACATTACGCGTGCGTGTCGCTGGGCTTGAGGCTAGATCGAAGTGTTCAGCACACCGCAGCCCTCTCTTGCTTAACCCGCCGCGTGTGCTTGCAGTGGCGTGGCTTGCGTGGGCTTGCTCCATCACTGCGTTATATTATATATACACTCTCTCTTACTTTTAACACATTGTTAACGAGCTTTTGTCCCTGCTCTAACCGATTGGGCTCCGATGAGGCCCTGTTATTGCCGATAACTTTTAATACAAGTACAAAGAGTGGGTAAAAAACGGGGATTTAAAAAATCCCTGTTATTACTGGGCCTGTTATGTATGGTTTCCACTGTAGAACAAAATACACAGATTCATGTTCACAGTAATATTATTAATATACTGCAACATTATATTGTATCCTGAGATATTTACACGTACTAATTTCTTGAATTAATTCATCGCCTCACTTATCATAAGTATACCGCTGATAAAGTAGGCCTATAATTTCAGTGTGAAGATGTGTGTGTGTGTGTGTGTGTGTGTGTGTGTCTGCATTTGCGTGTGTGTGTGTGTGTGTGCGTTTGTATTTGTAGCCTACACATAATACGCATGTTTGTGTGTATGTATTTTAAGTATGTGTATCATGTACTAGCTTATTAAAGCTATACATAGTCATAATCGTATTGGTCCATTTTCCATGTTACAAAATAAAGCATAATACATGTAATGTCATCATAATACATTAGATAGAGATATAAATATGATTAGCCGTATTCGTTTTTGTGTATCATGTGCATTTGATTTGTGTATTGATCCGTGTGTGTCTGTATGTGAGTTCATAATAACATCTGAATAACAGTTTTACCAGTACAATAAAGACGAAATGTGAACTGCTTCTTTCACTGAAAAGATGGTGAACACTAAACAAAGGAACCAGTAGGCCTACCATGTGTTGAAATGAGGCGCTAATCAAAATAATGAAATAGAAGAAAAAATTTTTCTGCCTGTTGGGCAATTTTTTAAAATGCTTATGTTTTTGGGCTCAGCACCTTTCTATTTCTATGTCCATATTCAAAAACACTTTCTGGCGTAGATTTTACTGAACAACATTGATGAATTGCACACAAAATTTAAAATTGTAGTTTCCATCTACAGACATTACAGCTATGGAAGTCACCAAACTTTGGCAGCCATTCTCTCGCTAATTTTACATCTGACACCAGGACTCCCAACTTCTCCAAACGCAAATGTTCCAACTTCTACTCAAGCTTTACCTTCATACTTTAAGGAGATCAATAACTCCATATATGTGCCCAAAAAATTGATGACACATGAATACGTTCCATAAAAAACAAAAGGAAGTTAACTATCGCTCCAAACATTAAAAATAATAACAAGAGTGTCAAAAGATGAAAATTCAACAACTTTTATTGACAGGGAATTGTTCAGTAAGTTTAACAGCATCATACATGAGTACAATAACGACAATCAATATATGTCATACGACACGCAAACAGATTTTATTTCGATAGTATTAGTAGGCACATTTTGAAATCATAAACCCCTTTGCCTCAACATCTACATGATTTAAAAGCATGAGAAACATTATCTGATCAGCTCTGAACTTTGGCATGCATCTGTACAAGAATTTGATCAATGGGAAACCATCAATTACAGAACTCCCAAAAACCCATAAATAATCAGAATTCATAGATTGGACATATTTCCCTCAAAATTTGATTACTAATAATAAATAAGTACTTTTGATTTTAGTAATGCAAGTAGCATAACAGAAAATAGCAACAAAGTTTTTAAAATTAGAACCAAAACCTGTCAGACCGCCGGATTTTCTAAATTCTATGATCTGTATTTTCCGTTTAGACATTTTGCTATGAAAAAAAACCGTCAACAAATTGAGATCTTGTTTACTTTCGGTAAACCGCTGTTTTCAGATTAATCGTGTTCAGTTTGTTTTTTGCTTTAGTAACAGTTTTATGGCAATTGCAACACAATGAGGTCATAAAAATAAATTGTCAAAGATTAGGTGTTACAAGAGAGTAACAATTTCAAAAATGGAGGAGAGATAGGGACAATCGATGTTTGATAGGCAAGAAAAAGAAAATCACACCAAATCACCCACATAGTTTTTGGGTATAAGCAGAGTCCAATGCATACAAAAAGAACAAAATGGGACCTGAGCATTCGAAACTAACGGATTGCAGCGTCAACAGCTCACTACCTTAGAATTACAAAGTTCAATCTGACATTTTGTTTGGCCATTTTGAGTTACTAAGACCATGAGGTCAGAAAGCAAATGTTCCATCTGCTCCATCAAAGTCACAAGATTATTCGGAGTCGTCAAGATATTCAAGAATTGCATTTGAAAAAGCTTGACATATTATAAAACTCAAATTTTTCAACGTTAGATTTCTCAAAGCTAGCTACTGAGCAGATAAAACTATAATTCTGAGGTAGCGAGCTGGTGAGGTCAAAGTTCCCCTACCACAGACTGCATAACTGAAAAAAAACCCCCAACCCCAGACTCTTTCCACACTGCAGATCAAGATGGTGGTGGGCACTGGCCAAGTAAACACCCCTTCCAAACCCTTCACACACTCTTTTCTGCAGTCAATATATTCAAGCTAGTCAAAGTAGACCTGTAGCGAACGATCTTTCCACTGTTATAGCTTAACCCTGTTCTAGAATGGGACCAAATTTACACACTGTAGTCCTGGATTAATGAATAGGACCAATTTTATTACAAAGATTATCCGCTGTCAATCTATCACTTGTAGGTCCTTTTTTTTCCAGTGATGTTTCAGTGGTATTTTCTTATTTCTCATGTTTATCTTTTTAGTACTGTACTACTTAGCCTAACGGAGGTTGACTAGACATCATTCGAAATACAGGAGTAATGAAAATAATAACAATACAGTATAACACGGACAGCTAGAATTCGTCAGGTCCGGCCTCAGTAGTTCTAGGGATCCATAGATCGAGGGATATCTTACAGAGTTAAAGAAGGGGGGGGGGGGGGGGGGAAAGGCGACCGCTGGCACACTTCGGCAGATGCGTGATTTCGAGTCTTTCATGTTTGACATATCCGTGTTATTATGTAATTATTTTTATACAGTGCATATCCATGGTCTACAGTATGCCCTGTGCCCTACACACCTGTTCATGGGGTAATTAATTACAACAGTCACAGGAGAAGGTACAAACATAATAAATCTGCAGTAGATCTAGTGCCCAGTGCCTACTTTTTATTAAATCATTTAAGCCCGTTACAACTGGTTCAAAGATTTGCATCCGAAAAAGCTTGACATGTGATGCTCAAAATTTTTAACCTCAAGCTTCCTAAAACTAGGTACTGAGCAGATACAACTTAGTAATCCTAGGGTAGCAAAGTTTTGTCGCCCCATGGGCGAGACAATGTGATGATGTGGTGCCCAACCAAGGTCACATATAATATCACTAAGGATTCATTAAGACTGAGAGCAAAAAAAACCCCAAAAATATAGAACTAAGCACAGATTTTCAGACTGAACATGAAAAATGAAGCCACTCTATTTAACCCTTTATGAGCCATATCGGCCTAAACCGGCCTTCCCGTCATGTTGCAATACCGGCTTTTACCCGCTTTGCCGCTGTAGAGCCATCTCGGATTTTACTTTTACTGGCCTGACACGCTCACCTTTAGTGCAGGCTTTGAAGTAAAAACATTCCACTCTAAATTTAGATGCTGACGTCCTAGGCCCTTGAACATAAAATTTCATAGAAAAGTGTCGCTTTAGATCAAAAGAAAAAGCAGTTTCTTTACTAAACCCCCTGAATCTCTGAAAAACATTGAAATAATCTGGTTCTGGGAAGCCATCAGCTGGCCGCCATTTTGGTCCTGCTGTGCTGACCTATTTATGGTGCTAAGAAGGTTAAGGCAAGGGATGATTCTACATTCTATGAAGAAAAAAAAAAGGGCCATATTATATACTTAAAAACCAACTGTGCTGTGAAATGAAGATAATACGATTTACAGTCGGTTTTCCAAGCTCTCTAGCAGGGGTAGATGGCAAAAGAAGACTCGACATGCTCAAAGACTACAAAGCAAACTGAAGACAATGCCAACGGTGAAGGATGTTTTTTCACATCTAGTTACTAACTGTACAGAATAGTGGCCATAGCAGAGGCCACAAGTCATCTTTACCCTTATTCTGTCTATTTTGCTTGAAAGATATTCTCCTCTGCAGAAGCATAGGTCATTGTTAGGCATTGATGGACAAACTATTTTTACTATTATACGAACTAAAAGCAAAAATAGTCTATATATTTTGAATAAATTATGATCAGCAAAAACAGAATTAAGCTCCAAGTCTAATACTGACAAGACAAATGTCCGAAATTTGCAACATTGAGAGTTAATAGGTAAATTATACTGTAGGAATAGAGGTCCAAATTTCACTTCTGAAGAATGAAGGACATTAGGTGCAAATTTATTTTTACAGAACTCTCTTGATTCTATTCAAAGGAAGATTTTTATTGCTAAAATGTAAAAAAAACCACAAGAAGACAAAAAACTAACATAGCTCCTCCCTTCCTACCCCCCCTTATCAATATTCTTTCCAGTGGAGAGAAACCAGATCTCTAATAGGAAGGAAAAGAAACATTCCTTTTTGCAAATGTCATGCAAAATAAACAACAACAAGGAGTGAGTAAGATAAAAATCTATCTCCGAAAAACATCAGCAAGCAAATTTCATTTTGACATAAAACAAAAAGCAGTAATAATAAATATATTAATTGATGCTGTAGGGAGGGATTTCCATGAGAACCGGCCCATCTATATATCCCCAGCTTAGATGTTGCATTTCAGGGTGGGCTCCTCCGTAAAACATAAACGTACTTACTTTCCAAACATTTTTCAAAACGGTCAATCGGACTACAGGGTAAATCAAAACTGCATTGTGGGCAAAACGTCCAGATCCACATTCTGCAAAACTCAATGCATTGCGGTACACAGTGTATTTGAACAACAACTCAACGTAGTAGGTCAGCCCTTTGCGTAGCACCTGTAGGCAGACATTGCAAACCACTCCAAGACCAAAAATAGAGTAGTTTTCCTTAAAATACCCACAATATACAATAGGAGTTTGAGCGGGGATTCGGAGAACCCCAGTAGATAAAGATTGTGTAGCAAACCGACAGTGGCAAATAAACGTGTAATGTAAACACGCGTCAATAAACACAAATATAGAAATGTGTACTTTCACATCATTTAAGACGAGTCGCACAGGACTCGACAGAAACGGAATTGAAGAATTTTTTAAAAAGGGATTTCATCCACACCTAATCGGGGATTTCCGAGAGGCAGAACAAAATTAGGAAAGCTCCGATTTTATCGCAGTAGTTGGCAGGTCTGTATTTGGAGACAAGTGCTGAGCAGGGCAGGGCTAGACCTCCATCTTGTTTTGGATACTGGGGATGTTGCTGATGGCCTGAGGCTCCATGTTGGTGTAGATGAGGTAGATCAGAACCACAACCACCGCCAGCGCTATCAGCTTCACCACCAGAGGAACGCCTTTGCTTTCTTGCTCCACTCTGGACAAAAACAAAAAATGTTGAAGAAAAAATAATGAAAAGTTCGTTCATTTTAGACATATGCACAAGTATTAGACAAGCGAAAAAAAAAAGAAGGAATTTTAGCTGAAAAACAAGCGCTTAAAACGCTAAAACATCGTAAAGCAGTTTTAAAAACATTACAATCAACTAAATTAGTTTAAAATTAGCTAGGTCTTTAGTTTTAATAATTATTTTATAGCACTTACAACACAAATAAGTCACATAAACATGTATTATATAAGTGCCTAAGATTAGAGGTGTTATTATAGACTTAAATACAAAGAAAAGACACAGGTGAGATAAAGATGATAGATTTTTGATAAGAAAGAAGGAGCAGACCATACCTAAGCACCTACATGCCATGGTCTTTTGTGTTAAGAATGTCACCTGTGCATGTTGTGAAAAAATAAAATTCGACAATTAATCAGCATTACACTCCAGTCAAGTCCAAAGGGTGGGCGAAAAAAAAACCCAACAATCTAACAATGCTCAGAGAGAACCAGGGCATAACACCTGGCTTTTTGAGGTACACAAAGCAGAAGAAAAATGTGAGGCATCATGATGAAAACGGACGCTCGTCAAAATAATGAAATCCAGGTAAAAGACATTTTCCCGCCAGCTTGACAATTTTTATGGAACTTTAATTTTTTCGACTCAACAAATGATATATCCTTTCTGTGTGGATTTTACTGAAAAAATGATTGAGGCGCAAAAATGGAAATTTAGAGTTTCCAAGGACCCTCAAGCTTTGGAAGTCACCATATTTTGACAGCCATTTTTCAGCTGATTTTTCCCTCTGAAACCAGGTGACCCACATCTCCTCATTCAATCGCAAATATCTCGACTTTCATTCAAGAAAGATGGGCATTTTCATTCAAGATAGATGGGTAGTTTGTGATTCAAAGTGCGACAGATGAACAAGCTTTTAGATGAAACCAAAAACTCTATAAGCCCAAAAATTGACAAGCGCCTAATTCCACCGGGTAGTGACACAAACGTCATCTATTTACAGCCCTCTTCATCAACCTTAAAAATCCTCACATATTTTTAGTCATGAAGAAATCTCTCAGCACCACAACACACACATAAGACATACTTGACAGGCAGCGGCCTTCCACCACTGGGCCGGGAGCTCAGTGTTTCAGTCGGAGTTCGCCTCGTCGCAGACAGAGAAGGTCGACTGTCGATTATGGGTGTGGACTGATCAAAAATTTCCCGTCGAAACCGAGTTTGTGTGGGAACTGGGCTGAAAGACGAAAAATGAAAAACACATGTAGCATTCATTTTTTAGTTTTAGTAAAAATTTTACGGCACTAGCAACACAATAAGGTCATATAAGTGCCGAAGATTAGAGGTGTTACAAGAGAGTAACAAACACAAAAAAGAAAGAGGGGAGATAAAGACGATAGACATTTGATAGAAAAGAAGAAGCAGCAGCAAACCACACCAGAGCACCTGCCAACCACATTCATTTTTTGAAATTCTTGCATTCATAGTATTGAGAAGTTCTTGAGAAGAAGAATGAATAAGTTACAATGGTCAGTTACTACAGCAAAAAAAAAAAAAGAGAAGGAGACAGACAGAGAGAAGAGACTAGAGAGTACAAAAGAAGGACCTACTGGTTACACCCTCCAACAACCCACAATATTTGTCAGGCGAAATAGAAGAATTACGAGAATTAAAGGTTAAGACGACTTGTGGCTTCTGCTATTGCCAATGAGACCAATTCTGAAAGAGAAAAGTTTGCCATATTCTGAGCATCCAAAAGCTCCACTCCCACTTGTGGATGTGTGCAGTCTGAGGGCCTCTCTCTGGAGGCGAAGTCCTTCACGGACATTTTCAAAGTGTCTTTTTAGTGCTTTTTCAGTGCACAAAGTGAGCAAGAGCACAATGTTTAAAGCAAAGGCAACAGCAACCATGTACTTTACATTCATGAACAGAAGCAAACCAGACTGCTGTAACCTCCTGCGTCAAAGGGGGTGTAAAAATATCTACATTAATTTAACCCCCAAAAAAATTTAATAAAAAATATTTTAAAATCCTCTGCATTATTAGTTATACTTATGATACATGATACAGAGTCCCATACCAACATACTACAGTCAATACATCCATGGACTGAGAGTGCATCAGAGCATTCAGGGTAGGGTTGTGCGTGTGTGTACTAAAATCCATCCGCGTCGTTTTTTAAAGTACACGAGTACTCACTCAAATCAAAAACCTCCAAGTACAAAGGTAATTACTCGACCTGCTTTTACCATTAAGTAGAAACACAAATTTTGGCCAATATTCATAGTTTCTGTTTGTTACTGCATGGTATTTCTTTTTCTTTGCGCACTATTCAAATCTTCTCAGTAATTTTAACTTTTCTCTGTTGTATTTCCTTTTTATTAATGTTTCATTTTCTGCTTTGTATTATTACTGTTAATTGATTGGTAAAACTTAGTTGAGGCATCAGTAAATGATATTGAGTCTATGCTCAGGCTTCAAGTACTAATTCAGGGATACTCACATAGATGAAGGAGAGGTCATTCTTGCACTTGCAGAAGGTGTAGATCTGGTTGAAGTCGATGGCAATTTCAGTTCAACTTCTAGGAGAACATAAGTATAAAAGAGAAATTCAAATACCACGGGTGAGTTTGGTTTCATAAACTCAGTAGTACAGCCACACGATAAGTTCATAACTGCCACACTGAGAAAAATCAAGACAGATTGATAGAGACAGGAGAGGGAGAGTGAAGAAGTAGGACCAACCAGTGGCAAGCCTTAATCAACCGCCACCTGTGGAAAATGTTGTACGAAAAATAAAAGTATGGCCCTCATGTGACTACAAATACAAAATAATACCATAAAAATACCCAACAGGATAAGAACAAATGTACTCAAATCAAAGACAAGTAGTTAAGTACTTGTACTAGAGAAAGAAAGTGTTGGCATTTTCACCTCACCTCAAGCCATCTTGCTATATGTCGAACATCATCTTAAAGAAAGTTGAAACAAGAACGTGAAAACAAGTTTCATCTCTATAAAAGCAGAGGAAGCACTGACATCAAACAAAAATCCCAGCACTTACCCTCGTCCTCCTCATCGTCATCGGGAACTGGCTCAAAATTCTGTGTGGGTGGAGAGGCTTCACCAGTTTTCAGTTTGAAAAGTTTGCGTTCATACGTACCCCTGGTAGCAACTGTAAACATAAATAAAAACAAAACATGACTGATGCCAGCATTTCTTTTCTTTTTGTTAGTTTTTTCAGTTTGTCCCTTCATGATCTTTATGATTATAAGCTTTGTTCATAATTTTTTTTATCTTAACCTACGAAACAGCCAGGACACCTATGTGCCAAATCATGGCTGCTTGTTCGGTCTTTCGATGAGCGAGGATCACATCGTCCAGCATTGTCTCTCATCATTACTCCATTATGAACACCATGTGTCCTTTGGAATCTAAAATGAGGGAAAGGGTGATCATGAAAATCACAGTGACTCCCCTTCCCAAAAAGGCTAATCTGTACTGGAAATTGATATTTCAATACATTTTTAATAATCCATAAGCGTACAACCTTCACACATAGAGCATAATATTTCCAACATTCCATTCTCTGCAAAATACTTTAAAAAACCCAGTCAAAGTAAAACTATCACTGCAGACTAATAGCATGGGGGGGATTGAGGTGCAATGCGTACTTTTAATATTATGTTATGTACTTGAATACCAAAAAGCAATGAGACAAAAAACCAAGGATGCACAAAGTCATTTCCAGTAATAATCATTTAGAGAAGAAATATAAAACGAAATTGTTACAATGTTGATGAAAAAAAGAAGTTAGCAAAGCAATGAATAGCCGTAAGGGGGTGAGGGTTGATGTACCTTGATCTTGTGACTTAAACGTTTTATTAAATTTTTTTTTAGCCAAAGCAGCGTAATACTTTTGAACCAATTTGAGAGGAGCTACAGAAAGGTTTCTCAAAAACAAAAACTGAAGTCCACAATTAATACGACATATGCAGCATTCCAATCCCAGGTGGTACAGCTAAAAGCAAGGAAAGGTCAAGGAGATCATAATAATATCAAACGGAAATGTGGCAAACGTCAAAGAAATTTCCTCGTTAACTCGATAAAAATTCATTGAACCTACCATTGATGGGGCCGACATCTATACCATAGTCAACCAGCATCTGGGTGAGCTCTTCATCAGATAAAGAACTGTAATCAATTTGATTTGTCAGAGGCATGTTGTCTCCTCTTACGTCAAAAGTTTCAGAAATATACAGCTCTTCCACAGAAGCCTGTGAAATAAAATTTGAAAATGTTATTACTTTACTCTTAAAACCTTACAACCCAAATTCAACTCATCAAGGGTATAAAAAGTTAGGCTTCTAAATCTGGAAGACAGCCAAAAATGTGCCAAACATCAGAGTTTACATTTTAATCTATCTAAATTACAATTTCTCTAAAACTTAGTGATTTATTATTAGTTTAATTTTAAGTAGCCTAGGCCTACTACATTCTAACATTATCATCATAATAAGTATTCTTAGTGCTAAATCCCAAATCTTTACAAGGCCAACCCTTTCATTCACTCTTTAATTGTGTTAATATTTTTTAAAGTCTTAATAGAGTAGGCTAGACTAGATCTAGTCCCTTGCCTCTAACCCATCCCTTAGAAGGGTGTAATCTAGAGGCAATGTCGATATTACCAGAGAGAAAGGAGCTATCATTCATCTTTGGAAGGCTAATTGGGAGTTGACTCCTCATAATGTCAATTGGCTATTGGAAGTCGACTGCCCATTTAATCAATTGATGTTATTAGGAGTCACAAAAACGAACTCATTTTTAACCTCAAAGGGTTTTGTTGAGGTTCCTTTGCAAAATTACGAAAGCTGAGTAGATTGGCTTTAAAAACCCCACAAGAAACCCCCAAAGTATATATTTCTGAGTCGAGTCTACCTCATTTGCATAAAAGGGTGGACTTCCGAGGATTAATTTGCCACTGGACAAGTGCAGCTTTCTCTGTATCTCTGCACCGGTCTACTTTCTAGACCTGCATGTGAGCCTCAACCAAATTGTCTGAATATTTTGCGCACACCACAACCCCCCCCCCGCCCATAAGACCTTTTGTGGGTGTCATAAAAGGAAGGACTTCCGACACTTCCATGTAACGAGCGACCACCCCAACAAACGCAATAAAGAAGAGACCTAATCCTAACCATAACCCAAACCATACCCCAAAAATAGGCACTCCTATATAATCAATAACTGCGGTCCCATTTTGGGATGGATACTCGTTTTGACCCCACCAACGATTACTTCTTGTTCTAAACGATTACTTTTTGATGCGCGTGCTGATATAGGCCTATGGAGGGATAGCCAATCAAACCTAAAACTGCAAAACATCAAATTATGGTCAAATTCAGGGGGGCATGCAATTTTTATCTATTTCGAGTCTGAATATGGGTTTTATCTATCCGGACTCGGGTCAGAAAAAACTATTTTATTTATTCGGGCTCAGCTTCTAAAAGTGAATTATGTGAGTGTAAGAAGGTTACATAATATAAAATATAACTGTCGTCGGGGGATTTTACGTAAAACCAGAATTAGAATTGCCTAAAAGGACTGTGTAATTGTGTCAAAAGACTGCACTCTCATTAGATCTACCCAATGTCAGTGTCTAAGTACACAGTAACCAACAACTCATGGTCTTTCCAAAACCACTACAGCATCATCATTACTTCCACCACCATTTGCATAAACATCCACATGTTTAATTTCATTTTGTTGTGTGTTAAAGGTTTTCTGCGATTATTTTTTAAAAAATCACATCGCACAAAAAGGACAGCCGTGGCCTCTTCTCACAGCAAGCCGAGAGTGCGATATCACTTTGCAAGCAATCTCATTGGCCGACCGAATTAATTTTGCCCCCGGCAAGGTAACCTCAACTTGGTTGTTCTGTTAATTCAAATGATACAGGGAGGGCCAGTTTAGATAGATCTAGTAACTGGATATTGAAGTTCACATCTCGATTGTTATTATTATAATCGAAAAAAAAATCATAAATGCTAGAAATATTTAGGAACAAGGGTCGGAAGTCGGAACGGACGTCATGCTGGACTCAATTCCGAGTCTGAATAGTCACTTTGTTGACACAAGAATAGAATGAATCCGCCATTGAAGTCTATGATCTAAATCTAGATCTATCTATGGCTGCGGTTATTGTTACAATAGTGCGTACAACTCTAACTAGTTATTAGTACAATTGTACCAATAACCAGACAGAGTTATTTGTACAATTATTCGAATTATGGAGCTTGTTGGTAAAAATAAGCCCAGATCACTAGATCTAGTCATCCAGTAATTTCTCCCCTGGGTTGAGAATCAATATCAATTAATAACTTTAACCAGGCCTAAATTGGTAGGCCTAAAGGGAAAAGTAGGCTAGATCTAGATATATATTAAAGATCTACAATTATGACTATTATGTTTCTTTGTTTTTACACAAAACCATGAGTGGAAATCTAAGAAGTCAAAACAAACAATTTTGAGGAAAAAAATTGTTGGTCAGTCGGGGGAGGAGAGAGAAGAAGAAAAAAAAATAACTCCCGGGACTGGAACTTGAACCCACACTCATTATAATATATAATACTTCTTCAAACGCAGACACGCTGTCATTTCGGCCATCAGAACTATCAACAGAATGAGGTAGATTTTAAGCTTAAATATATATTTTTACAGCACGGTTTCAACGCAACACATATTTCTAGGCAAGTGGTTATTCTCCGGTGTCGCACCGGTCTACTATTACTACTAAGACAGAACATGTAGAATACCTGGCCCAACCAGCGACCACTTGTTGTATTTTGCTTCTCAGTGGTCTGCTCTGTCAGCAAAATAGGTCAGGCAATCCATGTTCAGGGCCGCTTCAGTGTGTCAACTTCCGGTTTATACTGTGATATTGTCAATCATTCCAAAATGCCATTCGCATATTTTGCATTTTAACATGTTAATGCTCTGCCCTTGGCACAACCGCATGCCCTCAGCGCGATCGACGGAACAGGGCGAGACCATGCGCACAGAGATATAACAGGTGCAAGAAAGTTGTTTAGTACACTATTTAAAGGTTAGTACAGTGGAATCCTGTTATAACGAGAGGGAGGGGACGGGTGTGAAATGTCCGTTATAGCAGGATTCTCGTTACAAGGGATCCAGTAATAAATTCAAGGGAAATAGTAAACTAGGCCTAATCTTTGAGTTTGGCGTTCTGTTTATTCCTTTTTGTATTTCTCCTGATGATGATTTGTTCAACATGATCTCTAGGTCTTACTTGATAAAAAAATCGGATTAGGTTTCTTTCTCTAGCACTAGCAATGTTGACAAATCGGCCTCGGCGATCAGAAAGAAGGGGCTCTGGCTCTAGGCTAACTCGCCCGCTGTGTTGTCCCCTACCCCACCACACCCTGTGGTGCGTTGCGTCTGCTTGCGCACGTCACACATTCACTCCATCCATCTATCACAGCATTGTGACCACTCCATCCCGCACCACAGAAGTGAGAGGCACGGTATGCCTAGATAATCTAGACTGGGCTGGCCTATCACACGATGCGTTCTGCTTGTCTGCGCATGCCACACCTTCCCCATTCATTCGCTTCGGCCTTCATTGTTGGTTCGCGTGGGCTCTCCCATTCTTTGTTTCGCTGGATCACCAACAACTTTCTCTACTGGTAAGGTTTTATAACATGTTTAATTGGTCTGTGCACTGTGCACAGCAGCAGCAATATTCCGTTATAACCGACTCGCGTGAAGGTCTGATTGCGCAATAGCAGTATTTTATTTACAAAGATAAAGAAGGAGAAAAAACGGGGTTTTACAATAGTGTCTTTATAACAGACTTCTCGTTGTTTCAGGACTTGTTATAAGTGGACTCCACTGTAAAATCATTTCTTTAGCAAATTATGATGAAAACAATTTTTAATTAACAGAGGGTACAGAGACAAGTGGTCGCGGGTTGGGCCAGCTACTCTAGTTTAGTAACGGAAGAAAACTTCTCTAAGAATGTTTCTGATAAGCCTTTCACTTCGAACTCGACAGCTGCACTAGCAGACGGCTGACGTTCTCGGAAAAGGATTGACCAAAAGTGAAACTAGACAAGGCACGTAACTCTAAAATATAACAGATTGCACACGAGCTGCACAGAAGGAAAAATGGGGAACTGGTCGCGCTCAGGGCACGGTCGCGCCAAGGGCGGAGTTCTCTAGATCTAGGCCTGTGGGCATGTATTATTGTACGGATAATTGTAGCAATTATTCGTATAGGCCTAAATATGTAGCAATTGTGCGTACAATGTTGTACGGATAACTAGATAGAGTTGTTCGCACTGTATGGATAACCACTCCGATATCTACAATGAGATGAGTAGATCTAGGCCTTGATGAAGTAATATTATTATATTTATAATTGGAATGGCTGTCGTTATTCTCACCCGGGGTGAGAATAATGTTATATTATTGTTATTCTCACCGCGGGTGAAAATAAAATGAATATTATTCTCACCTCTTTTCTGGTCTGAGAATGCAATGGATTTTTATTCTTAGGCCTACCTGGGTGTTGAGAACAGATTATAAAAAATAATTTGTGAATTGTAAGAGGTTTGCGACCTGCCCCGGAGCACAAGCCGATTTTTCTAGGCTCCCGCGGGGATTGTTATTGTTTCATTTTTTTAAATCTTGAGAGTATGCACACATGCTTCACCAAAACCCTAGACAAGTGTATTCTAAATTCAGAAAGGAATTGACTAGCCAGAGTAGTATGTTTTTGAAAATAATAGCCTTAACTGAAAGCTGTGTGAAACAATGTTAGTAATAGTTTGTCATTGTAATGTTAGAATTGGCATTTGTTTTCAACACAAAAAACATGTTATTGTTATCCTTAGCATAACCCACAGTTATTTTTAAGGCACGCAGCCTAGTGCCTTGACCCTCGGCTTATTTTTTTCTTAATTTTGATAGGTTATAAACCATTCAAAAGAGTGAAAATTTCCATTGCAGAACCAATAAATACTGTAGGAACATAAGATGACGGTATTTGGTCAAAGGGAGTGTATGCAGACCCGGTAACCGGGAACAAAGTCACAAAGTATACAGACCCGGTAAGGGAACTCTTTTGTGATTTCTGAGAGTTTCGAGCGCCCTCTTGGCTCAGGGTAGACCTTGGTTCTTCTAGATCTATGGTCTAGATCTAGATCTAGGCAGACAAACTTAAAACTTTGATCTAGTTTCGCTGCTAGCCTAGATCTAAATGAAGAGTGCGGATGTCTTTTCGATGAACGATCGTTTTTCCTCCGTTTTGGAGTTGGAGGAATCACAATTTGAAGAAAAGAACGAGTTACAATGTCATAATTTCAATCGAGCAGCCCCCCCCCCCCCCCCCTCTCTCTCTCTCTCTCTCCTCTGTGTATCGCTCGCCTTCTCTTTTTCTTTGTTTGTCTGTCTTTCTTTGTCCCCACCTTTTTCCCACTCTATCTTTCTCTCGTTCCCTCCCTCCAACTGAGGCATGTCATATACATTTTGCTAGCACCCCCCCCCCCCTCTCTCTCTCTCACACACACACACACGATTTCTACCGGGTCTGGGGGCTGAAACTCTTCGAAATCACAAAAGAGTTCCTCTACCGGGTCTGTATACTTCGTGACTTTGTTCCCGGTTACAGGGTCTGTATACACTTCGTTGGTCAAAAGACAATGGTCGCCTCCCGCGCTTAAGAGCTGACCCGCCTGTCGGCGATATTAGTCGCCTCGCGGGCTAAGCGGAGTGAGAGAGGGAGACGAGTTTTGTCGCCTGGAGCGCTCAGTGACAGGGGTCCTATGATGTCCGAAACGAAAAAACCGGGCGAGAATAGTAGGCTGTCGTCGTTATTCTCACCAACAGTATCAATTTTGGGAGGGGTGAGAATAATATAATATCCAGTTTATCCTCACCCCGGATGAGAGTAATCACTCCGCCGTATTGGAATATTGGCACTGGGACAATTTGCCTAAAGGGGTCTTTCACAACAGAAGGGAGTGTCGGACTGAATTGAGTCCAGCATGACGTAGATCTAGAATCTATGTTCCGACTTCCGACCCCTGTGTTGGAAGTCCAGGAATGGGATAACATATAAAAACATTTTAAAAATAGTAATAGCCTAACCTAACGTCTAAAATCTAGACTAGATTCTAATTCTAGATCTATATCTAGATCTAGACCTAGATCTAGATCTAGTCTAGATCTAGTGAAAGTGGATATTCTCACTCGCACGGAAGTTCTCGCAAGATCAACTCCTCCCCTCTTCTCTCTCTCTCTGTCTCTTTCTGAATACTGTCTATGTCTATCGGTGTGGACGATCAAATTGACCAAAACAAAGTTAAAAAAATGATGTTAAAACACAAAAGTAAATTAATTTGGTTGTCTACAAAGATGCTACGGCTATTTAACTTTTCGAATCGAGCCGAACTACGCGGGTCGCCATTTTGTTTTGCCCGGAAATTCTCGCGCTACTCCTCTCTCTCTTTCTCTCTCTCCACTGCCCACAGACAAAATTGTACGCTTTTAGTAGGCTACAGTTGTAATGGAACGTTTGTTCACGGCACAGAATTCTACAATTTTTCTGTTATCACAGTATAGAATTCTGTGGTTTAGGGTGAACGCAAAATTTGGTGAACGCGCACCGGGTGAGAATAGCCACAAGACTCGCCTGCACTATTCTCACTCCGGGTGAGAATAGAGGTGGCCAGATCTAGTCTACATCTAGACTTAGATCGAGACTCAAAACTTCAGATTTCCACAACCAGTAGGGGTTCAAATACACAACATGTGCACTACGAATCGAATGGTGAATGAAGGCAAAAGAAAGGCAGCAGACAGTGTCACAGACAAAACTGATGAAAACAATGTTCAATGTTACAGAACAGATCAGACCACACCACACTAAAAATGCCCACCGACCACTTGTGCTTGTGTTTGAACAAGTAGAATCTTGATCTAAATCTAGATACAAGTGACTAAACATTCACTGAAGTAAATAAATGAACATAGGGCCTATTTTAATTTACAAATGTGCATGCTGACTCACAAAAACGTATAAATACCACTTTCACTTTACGCGCTCGTTCCGCGAATGTTGCTGTACCAGTTCGGAAATTTGCAAGCTCGAGGCTCGAATGTTGTTGTACCGGTCGGTAGGTCTAAGGAAATTTGCAAGCTCGTCTGTTGTGCCGATTACTTTCTCAAATCTTTTCCCTGCGATTACAGCAGCATCTTCTTTTTTTATAAACAGGTTGCTCTTTGGTTTGGTTAAAGAATAGAGGTATCATTGCTGGCGGTACAATGCCATAGTATAGGCCTAGCTGCTCATCCTTCCTCTCCAGGATCCATGAAAGGATTGGCTATTGGCTTGCTTACTGTGACAATTATCAACTGGTTGATCAACTTTGTGAACAATACAACCTGAAGGGGCTGTTCGTACGTAAATATCTAAACCAATATCCCATATAGGCCTGCTTTTGGGATATGAATGGATGTGCATTTATTGCTTGAAACAATTTATCAAACATATGTGTTGTTTTTTAAAGTTAGTTTGTTGTTGGTGTTCTTTCCCAGTGAATAATATAGAGGGGTAGTATCGAGTTTGAAGCATAGTCGATACTAGTACTAGTTATAGAATCGAGTTATAATATCAAAGGTCCATTTTTTAAAAACTGTTCGAATAGCACGAAGAAGCCTAGCCGGAAGTATTAAAAATAATAATGATTAGTTATAAAAGTAACACGAAACAAAGTCGAACACGGAAATAAAACAAAACAAAGCAAAAGCATTGTCCTCAGTTTTTGGGCATTTCATGTTGAGTTATTCGTATCATCCTAAAGCTTGTTCATTTGTGTTGCTTTCCCTGAAAAAACCCCCACCCATCTATCTTGAATAGAAGTTGAGATATTTTTGATCGAAGGAGGTAGATGTCACCCGGTTTCAAATGTAAAATAAACGAGTAAATTCTTAATTTTATAGCCATCGAAGTTTGAGGACTCCCATTGCTTTTAAAAAGTTCTTGGAAACAGAAGATTTACAATTTTTTTGCCTTCAAGTTTATTTTTAGTAAGATACTTCCAAAATATTTTAAATCTTTCGTGTGCGTGCGCTCAGGCTTGCTCGCGTGCATGTGTGTGTGTGTGTGTGTGTGTGTGTGTGT